TCTGAAAAAAGTATAAAAAAACAAAAAATAATTGAAATATATAACTACGAAAGCTCATAAAAAAGTAAAAGAAAAAAATGAAAAAATCTTCGAAACCAAAGGAGTCAGAGCAAAAGGCAGAACCAAACCCTAAAACACCATAGAAGAAAAGTAAGAGAGAAAATCCTAAATTCATATCACAAAATTCATATCAAAATCCAAAAAAAAAAACATTAAAACATACAAAAACAAAAACAATTCAAATGTATAACTAAAAAATATAAGAAAAAAGTGAAGAAGAAAAAAGCATAAACCATTGGAACAAAGATAGAATAGAGCCTGAGTGAAATGGAGAGGGAAAGAAAAAACAACCATAGAAGAAGAACAATAACAAAAACCCTAAATCCATATAATTAAAGTTAGATCAGAGTCTGAAAAAAAAAATTCAAATATCTAACTATGAAATATCATAAAAAAAGTGGAAGAAAAAAAATGAATTAACCTTTGAAACTGAGAGATAAAGAGACAAAGCGAAGTTATAACCAAATCTTAAAACACCATAAAAGAAACCAAAATCAACGGTGAGGAGAAAAAGTGGAAGAGAGGGCTAGGTATGAGAGAAAAAGTTTCAGATGGTTTAACAGGAAAAAGATAACAGAAAGAAGAAAGAGATTGAGAAAAAAATGTAAGAGCCAAGAAAGAGAAATAGTTAAATATATTTTTATCCTTTAATAAAAATTAAAATTAGTCTATCTCTCAGATTTTAATTCAATTCAATTTAATCTCTCAATTTTAAAAATGTATAAATTTAATTCTTTCAATCAAATTTTATTAAATTTATTTAATATTCTCAAATTGATTTTATATATCACTTGAATTATTTATATTATTTAACATTTTTTTTAATATTAGCTAAAAAACGTGTTTAAAATATTAAATGGTGAATAACTAAATTATTTTAATGTTTTGAAGAGAAGAGTAGTTTTAATTTTCATTTATAATTAAGAGACAAAAACATGTTTAAAAAGAAATTTGTTCATATTTAAGAAAGTGACTGTGTGAGAAAAGTTAGGAGGGTGTGTTGAAGTGAAAAAAATCATAATTTAGGCAGTGTTCGCTTGAACAGATTTTACTGTTCAGAGGCGAATGTGAGCGATGAATTGAGAGTGAGAAGGTGTTCGTTTGTGCAGATTTGCGAGCGACGAATTGATGTGATTTGCGAGATGGGGTTGTTTTTTTCATCCCGCTGAAACGAGGAGATTTGCGCTGATTTCTTCACAAATTACGTGTGTGCCCTCGTGATTTTGTTAACTTCACAGAGATGCTGGCAAACTCGTAACCGGTTACGCGAACTGTTACGCGAATAGGTTACGCGAACGCGTAACCGGTTACGCGAACGTGTAACCGGTTACACAATATATATTTTTCAGTTTTTTTTATAATTATTTTAATATTATAATTTAAAAAGATATACATTTTAATAAAATTAGGTATATTATATTTTCTAATTTATTAAAAATAAGTTGATTATTTAATTTTTATAATTTTTAAACATTAATTTTATAAATTATTCATAATTTTTTTAATAAACATTTTTACAATTAAATATAACATTTTATATTACTTTTATAACTAGGGTCATTTTGGTAATCTTTAATTTCTACCAATTAAACTAATTTTTAAAATCTATCACATCAATCAAATTTTACACTAATTCTCATAAACTTTACTTCCAAATCCACTCTCAATTATCCACAAATCCACTCAAAAAAACAACTAAAAAATTACCCTCAAATCCATTCAAATCATCTTCCCCAAATCATCTCCCCCAAATCATCTCTCCCAAATCTACCCAAACGAACACGGCCTTAGAGTTTTAAAACAGGAAAGCTGATTTCGAAGGAAAATGAAAGAATTTATTTTTAATTTGAAAAAAATTAAACATGTAAGAAGGTTACTTAATGTGGTAAAAAAATAAAATTACTTTTAAGTTTTTTTTGGTGTTAGAATGCGTCATGTTACTTAATGTGCTTTCTATAGATATCAACGAATTTGATGATGGTAAAGATACCAAACAACTTTTAAGCTGTCTGTGCTTTCTTGGTTCCAAAACTGTAATTTTGAAAACAATTCTAAACCTATTTATGCAGGAAACAATTATCCAAAAAACACACTCTATTTTACTTTCAAAAACTATATAAATTTTGAGAACTAAAATCAAGCAAGTCCCAGTGTAGTATCCTACGAATTTTACCTTAGTATCAACAAAAAAAAAAATGCATTTTATGAATCCCATGCAAAAGTTTAATTGGCAGAGAGCGGATATTTTAGTCGTGGTTCAAACATCATTTACCCCGAAAACACATTGGACAAACGAAGGTCAGCATGAGAGTTAATTGCAGTAATCTCATGAACAATTTCATTAAGCGCAACTTCGTCTTTGAGTATTGAAGTATGCGACACACCATCTATCTTAACCACTTTAAGGTATTGATTTTTCTCCTCTTTCCATAGTGATTGAAGCGCCAGCAAGCTCACCAAGTTCACCGTTCCATCACCATCCCCATATGAAATTTCTGGCCGCTCATCAAAATCCCCTTTCTCATAAAACAAACTTTCCAAGGTTCTCACTCCTGTTCCCATAATACAAGTTATAGGCACGTGTGGCGCTGGAATGTTCCCTATCAAGGGTACAATGCGTGTTTCGTAAGGGTAAACCCCTTCGGGAAAACCAATGTCTTTGAGAAAATCAACCATGTCATGTGCGGAATAGGTCTTATTTGGAGTGATCACAATTGGTTTTTGAGGACCGAATATTTTGGGGTTAGGCAAAAGCCAAAGGTTACTCTCGGAGCTTCTTTGTTCACCCCTCACTAACAAAGGGTCCACCAGGGGCACTCCTAGAGTGTTGCCAGATGCAAAGGTGAACATTTCGTCTACAGCACCACCCCATGGAGCTGAAAGAGCAATGAAGTGTTTGATGAATTTTTCACGCCAAGAAGGAGGGTTTCGAATTAGGAGTTGTAGGACAAATAAACCTCCTAAACTGTGGGATACCAGTATCACTGGCTTCCCACCGTTGGAAGCGCTTGCTTCTTCTATCAATTTCGTCAGGTCTTTTAGGAACTTGGAACCCACTTGTGAGGGATGACCTTCAGCAGCTAAACCATATCGAAAGTCATAGGGGGCACCAAATAGAGTCTCACCATCAGCATAACCAAGCTCTTGCAATGAATCCACCAGGGATGCCATGTATTCGGTAATATGCCTATTAGGGGTACAATATGTGTTCATTAATTGGTGAAACATTCTTAATAAACACAAAGTTGTATTGTGCTGTGTTGTGCCTAAAAGTCTTGAGAAAAATTGAAGAAGAAAGGGAGGCACTTACTTGAGACGAGGATTGAGATAAAGAAGGGAATTGATGGAACCGAATTGAGGGACCCGAGTGAGAACTCCGGGGGTGTTGAAGTAATCATCGAGTTGTGGATGGTAGTGAAGGGTCATGCGTTGAGCAAAGCATTGAGTGAAAGGTGCAAGAATGACACTGGAATCAAACCAGAGTCTGAACCAGCCTTTGTTTTTCTTCCCAAGAGGGTACCAGGATTCGCAGATGAAACTGGATGGCTTGTACTCTCTGCTCAACTTGGCTTCTAGCTGGTTCCCTCCGTTACCAGGTACTAGAATCAATGGGTGCAGGTTCCCGCTTGTGCTGGCCCCGCACGTGCATACCACTGACAACATCACAACAACAACCTCTGTGAGTGTCGCAAACCCAATCCTGACCACACCCTGTTTCTTCATTATAATATGGATGATAACTTATCCAAATACCTACCATACCCCTTTCTGGGGCTTTGTTTTTTTAAGTGTTCTTTATAGATGAGTAATGATGGAGGAAGAGAATCGGGTGAGAAGTAAAAAGGAAAGCATGTGGTGGATATTTCTGTTTTATTTTCGCTTTGAATATTATGTACAAGAAATGGGGCAGCTAAGGTGCCACGTTTTCACATCTTTAATCGCTTATTTTAAAACTATGAATGAATGACCGTGAGCTGGCGTGGAAATGCATTATATTCGATTTGATGGGCTAGGATTGTTTTGGGTCATTGTGAAACGAAACTCATAAGGCCTGAAGAGTAAGTTGCACGGCCCAAAGAAGTTGTGATAATTGCTTCATGCACCCCATCAATTTCTACACGCACCGTATCTGTTTTTGAAAATCATTTTTATCATTGGTTTGTTTTATTTGAAAGTTGTGAGACAGTGGTGAACTGGTTTTTAGGGATTTTTTGGGAAGCTTTGGTGGGATGGAGGCAGTGGTGAGTGCTAGTGCTTTGCAAAGCCAGACAAGCTGTGGGAAGTTGGAAATACTACACTTTGATATTTCACATATTTGATTGGGGTGCAGGAAGGAATTGTTAAAAGTTGCTAATGTGAAACAAACAAGAGCAAAGGTTGAACCTAAGTTCAATGCTTTTGGTCTACTGGGCCTGTGTATACTTCCACAACTTTCGTGGGACCTTTCCAAATTAAAAAGAAAAAATACTGAAAAAATAATAGTTCTCATTCCACCAACAATGTATGATGACCTAATAAACCAATAAACCAAAACAAAAAAGATGAATTTAAATTCTGTACAAAATCAGTATATCTTGAAAGTGAGAGGAACAGCAGCAGCAGAAATTCAGCGGATAATAATCTAAACTCAAAAATGACTTTACCTTTTTGACAAGATTGCCATAATTGCAGCCATCAATTATAAACAGTTGAAAAAGTCTTAACAACGTTTCTCCTTCATATTTTACTATTTCATTGACGATGAACTAAGTATGAGTATGCAAAATCACTAGCTTAAAAATCCTTGTATTTCTACATAGTTTAGGTTACTTAAAAACATATCTAGAATTTTGACAAATTGTATAGATATAAATTTAAAACATTTATAACTTTTAATAAATTTTATAGTATCAAGATTTCATAATCTAATATGCTAAAAACTTCTTTCTTGCTTCTTTATCTTTTAAAAAAAGAAACTTAGAAATTTATTCTTAAAATTACATATGTTCTTACAACGATACCGTGTGAAAGAGAAATATGGTTTTTTAATACAAAATAAAAAGTGAATAAAAAAAAATACTTATTTCAATTTATCTTCTTGTTCATGTTGTTGACAAGCTGCTTCATCTGAAACCTCCAAAACAAGAAATAAGCCAAGCCTATTCCAACCATCACATACATCCAAACATTCTCTCCCTCACTTTCTCTGGCAGACCTCACCTCTTCAATCTTAAAACTTTCACACGAATTCCCCGAAATGCCCTCCAGCACGTGCCCGTGCAGCACGTAAGCCCTCTCTCTCTCCCGCACCACAATCGAAGTGGGAAAACCCTCGTCATCAAGGTCAATTTTGTCAAACACCACACCCTGGCTCCACCCGTCGTTACTCTTCACCAACCACACCCTCTTCGACGACACCACCAAAACCACGCCGTCGTTCCTCAAAACCACGCCGTCCGCACCCACGAGATCCTCGTTCAGGAGCACCAGTTTCGCCACGCCGTCATCCGCGTCCACCTTGAACATCTTCCCCGTGTTGCTTTGAACCACCAAGAGATAACCCTTACCGTTATAAACCAAACCGTTTATGCCGCAGGAGCTGAACTTCTCGCCGATGATCATTGGGTGTTCGGTGAATCTCGCGGAATTTGAAAGGATCCAGGCTTCTCCCTTTTCGCTGACCTTCCAGATGTAGTTTCCCCCCGAGTTGGTCACATACGCGTTACCTTTGAAGTCCACTGCCACGTCGTTCGCGACGGCGCGTTTCTCGTCGCCTTCTTCCGCGGAGGGGAGGGCAGAAAGGAAGAGGCGGCTGCCGGAGCGGAGGTCGTAGGCGGCGAGCGCGTTGAACGGAGGTAGGGGGGGCAGTGCGTGAAGCGCCGCCAAGACGCGGTTGTTGCGGGAGTCCACGGCGAGGCCCAAGATGGTGACGTTTTCCGGGAGGGAGGGGTCGGAGACTAGGGTTTCGACCACCCCGGCGTCGGAGATCGCGGAGATGGTGCGGTGGCGGAGGGATCCGACCAGGAAGTGTTGCCCTGTGGGATCCCACGCTAGCCCTTCCGGGAAGAGATTCGGAGAGCGGAAATTGATGACGTGGGAACTGGCGGCGAGAATGGTTGAAATTTGGAGGGCGAAGAGAAGGAAGAAAACGATGGTGGGTGTGGGATTGGTAAAGCAGTGTTTGGATGTCATTGTTGACAGTTTTGCGAGGTTGTGTTGAATTGGTGTGTTTTCTTACGAGCTTAGGTCTTTTACTTGGGTTTTCTTGTCAAACGGATTTAGATAGAATTTGTTTTGTAAAACTATAACATGGAACTTAATCTTTAATTTGGTTAATATTATTGGCTGTTAGATTTAATATTTATCTATGATAAAATAATATATGAAATCAGATTTCAAACTGAATATGTTTGACACTTTACCTATCATTAAATATATAGAAAATTCAAAAGTGACTCTTTATATATTTAAATTCATAGCTATGCAAATATTGTATACTGTAAAATGAAACTAAATAGTTTAATTTATGATATTATGTTCAACTTTTTTTTCTTATTATATTTATTTTACGGTTCGCCTTAGAATACTACCTAGATATTTTATGATGTCTCCCGTATTTTCTCTCATAAACTCCATAATTTTATTTCTTAAAACAAATATAATTTAATTTAAGTTTTCAAATAAATTAGAATTTATATAATGATTTTTTATTAAAATCAAGAAACATAAAACTATTAGCTTCGTACTTTGCAAAGCTAGGAAATAAATGTGGAGATATAAGAGGGGTTAATGTTGTACTAAAAAAAACATTTAAATCCAGATAAAAATATATCTTTCAAACAGATTACATAATACCAAATTACATTGCAAATTGTAACATCCCAAAATTATACAGTCAGCAACTATATAATAGAATATTAACATGTATTTATATAGCAGTTTTACAATTAAAGAGAGCGGTGTGCAAAAATGGCCGAACGCCCTTACATATACACACAAAAATAACGAGCGTTCACAAAAGAATTAGAACGAACGGTTTACAAAATATTGGCCGAATTTCACTATTTACAACCCCAAAAGAGCGTCTCCGAGTCACAGCCGCTCGCTACCCAAATTACTACTGAAAACCGAACGTCTTTACCGCTCGGCCTTCACTTCCACTTCAACGAGATTCTCCCCAGCTAGGACTTTTCCCTTCAAGCGCTTGCTCCGAGAAGCATCACCTTCTGCTCACATCCACACGGATTATCAATGGCAAGGACAAGACGGATCCACATATACCGACAACGCAAGGAAAGTGCCAGGTAAGCTTATTGATTTAATTTAAGTAAAAAATATTTCTACTATCAAATACAGCCAGAAATTCCAAAATTTACATACAATTCCATACAATAATTCCATCCAACCCTGATGCTATACCGACCTGGTCGGACTGTATGAAACCTTTTAGCTACGTCCGTGCACTCCGGTGGGGTACTGGAATGCTCATCAGTAGCCACCTGAGGTTAGTCTGTTTCTGTCCAAGTTTTAAGTTATGGACTAGACCCTCCTGCCTTCACGTAGACATACTCCTCTCTACTTGAGAACGAGCACTCACGGAATATCAGGATGAACCACCACTAAGCAACTTTAAAATCTCAATTTTCAACCAAGAGTCGTTCCTCCCTGGAACGCTCGTTCAAAAGCCATAAAAAGACAAATCATAATTTACTCTTATAGTATTCGCACATCTTAATTCTTCCTCTTAAATACATTTTCATTATATGTCCACTTGCATAAAAAGACGACGTTCACCTCCCCTTCATAACGAGGATGAACGTTAATAGCGTATACCAAGAAAGACTCCATCGAATCAGTTAAATGAACTATTCCAGTACGATCCAAATAATACTTGAAAAATCTAAGTTCATAACACTTGAACGAATCCAATGGATAGGTGAAATTTCAAGTTGTTTAGATAAATAAACAGAACAAATTTTAATCCAGGAGACAACTGTCAGTCAATACCGAGCGCGAAAATAAGCTTTTATAAATCTTGGACGAACGTCACTGAGGACTTGGACGAACGTCAATATAACTATTGGACGAACTCTATTTATATAGTAAGGACGAACGCTATTTCAATTTGGGACGAACTATTACCGCTCGTTGATAATTTAGAAATGAACGAACGTTCGGTATAGGCCGAGCGTTCCTTTACCACATACTCCTTTGGACGACGTTCAGTTATAAAACCGAACTCTGCTTTGGACGAACGCTAGGTAAATGACCGCTCACTAATTAGAACGAACACTATTTAGAACGAACATCGGTATATACCGAACGCTAACTAGGACGAACGCTCAATCTAAGACCGAAGCTCATTTGGACGACGCTCATAATAAGACTAAGCGCTACTATGACGCACCCTGGAATATCAAACCGAGCGTTACTAATTACAACTCACTTATTTCACCGTTGACACGCAGGCTGAGCCGAACGCTCAACCTAACCCTTCACCAAATGACGCTTCGCTCTTCATCAGGATCCTTCCGAATGAAAGAATTCTTATTCTAGTCCCCTTTTCAGGGAAACCGACGTATAAACCTTTGATGACGAGCGTACATTATCAAGCAGAGAATATGAAATTTCCAGATTTTCATTTACAATAACTTTACAGTTTCATACGATTTCACCTTAATAATTTCTCCCACCAATGAATCTCTACATTACAAATTAATATTATCATACCAAAACATACAGAATTAATCATACTCCGAATATAGTTTCATTCCCTCAGCCTACAGTTCAAAAAATATTCATCCGATACATCCATTGCAACCATGTCGTTCAATGCTACTTAAACATAAATATTTCATGCATTTCAACATCCATTACACTTCATTGCTTTCCATACCATTCAAACAAGTATTAAATTAAATTACTAAAGCTTCCCTTACCCGGATTGTAGTGAACGTCCTAAACTGAGTGGAACTTGATTCGTCTAACCGAGACTCCCTCAACGTTTCACTTACGCTTTCCAACTAAACTAACCAAAGAAAAAGAAAGGACTTAATCCACGCCTTTGCATGCAACGGAATAGGGTTTGCAGGAACTTCTAGAAACGAACGTCCAAATAAACTTACCAGAACCGTAAGTTGTTCGGTTCAGTCTGAAGCTCTTGGTGCAGGGAACGTTTCTGTGATCTCTGAAACGTAATCGGAGGAGAAGAAAGTGAGTTATGGTAGAGAGAAGGTGGAGGTTCTAGAGAGAAGAAGGAGAAAAATGGAGATTTTAAATTCCTGGGGAAGAAGAAGGTGTACGCAGAGGGGGGAAGAGTTGTTCAGAGAAATTTAATTCTCTTACCAATTCATACGGACGTTCCTTCCAGAGATGACACCTGGATTCCAGAATTGAGTGCAGAACCTTCCGATGTGACACATGTCAGAGATATTCAGAGAATGAAAGTGCACATTAATGGCACAGTACGTGGAGGGGCGTGGGTGCATTAATGAAACACAGAGGTATTAAATGGGGCGTGACACAAATCATATAATAGTACTCGGATTATTTTTTTGAAATTAATTTGCAATCATATTTACAAATTAAAAAATTCTAAAAATATAAGAAATTAAATATTAAAAAAAAAGGCTTAAATGCGGAAACGTTGCATAAAGAGAAAAAGTCACGTTACGGAAGAAAAATACCAGAGAGAAGAAAGAAAAAAAAAAGTCAGATTTTATAACTTAAACCTTAAACAATTTTTATAACTTTAAGATTCACTAGATATATTTTTAAAATCAGATACTAAACAAAAATTCATTTAATGGAACGAAATAAATATTTAAGTTTTTAAATGTTATCTAGTTTTATTGTTACTATTTTCGTAAATATCAATGATGCTTCTTTTTCTTTTGTGTGATTTACTTACCCTTTAGCAAGAGACTATTAAATGATTATACAATGATTGCTTTGATAATATATCATTGGAGTTGAAATATTTTAGAAATGTACTTTGTTTTTTGTGGAAGACATCAAATATTTTATTATAGGAAATAGCAACAAAAATTGTGTGTTATAAGAAATGTTGTCAAAGTGTTTTATTTTTGAAGTCTGTATGGACGAAGTTGGTGAAGTAAATGGTGGGTGAAGAAATGTTGCATGATGATGACTTCGTGGATGTTAGGTGAGCTTTTCCCTATTTTGTAGAATTGCAAGTGCTTATGAGTATTATTTTTTTCATTGTACTTTTTTATAACATAATTAAAAAGGCCTTTCGGTAAAAACTTACATTATATGCAAATTGTATTGTAAATTATAGCTACAGTGAGTTATACCTTACTATTATATGCTCGTAATAAGTTTAGCCTGCCTTTCATTAAATTTTGCTATTGCTTGTTATGTTATCTTAGGTCTTTATAGCTACAGTGAGTTATACCTTTCCATTTTATTTTGTTTTAAGCGTAAGTCACATTTAGGCAAGTGAATCTGAATTTTATTCTGCTGATTTACGTGTAAACAATCTTAGAAAGTGAATTATCATTTTGTGAATGTTTGTTTATATAATATTGTATGGTTGTAGTTAGATTGTGGTTGGATGAAATAATTACTGCATGTTTAAAACTTAAGTTTTGAATCAAGTATCAAATTAAGTAAGTTAATTTTTTTTAAAGTGAGATAGATATAAATTTAATTTGATATTAAATATTAGATTGAGTGTTACGTGATCATTTAGTTAAAATTATGAGTGGTTTTGTTGAATTTGATAGAATAGGTTTCCATTGAATTTTTGTGACTTGTTATATGGAATTGTGTTTATATACATTCTTATTAGACTAGAGTTAAATTTTGTTTTACATTTAATTGTTTTGCATTGCTGAACGAGACAACTTTCACTGTAAGCTGGTGTTTGATATTCTCGCTTGATAAGTGATTAAGTAACTGGACAAGATGATTCTGGCAAATAATTTTCTATTATTCTTCAATCTTCCATTTTCCTACAAAATAATTCCACGAAAAGATAATTATATTTATCTCAAGGAAAAACATAAAAGTCCTACATCTTTTCATTAAAATAACACAAAATACATGAATGAAGATAGATAATAAATTCTAATAAACACGAATAATAAGTATTTTTTCATTGGTAATTACTAACATACTAAAAATTTTGTCAATAAAATTTATAGTTGAAAATTTTATCTATAATTTTTTATCGTCGTTTTATCGATAATTTTAATTTATCAACTGATTCTAAACATTGTCAACAAATTTTAGCCATTAACAATATTATTTTTTCTTATAATATTTTTTTAGAATAAAGTTATGAAAATATATTAACGTTTTA